TGTTTGATCTAATCTTAGCTTGGGGGATTAAGAGTCATGTCTTGCTTGCTATGTGTTAAATGTTGAGTACGACGTATAAGCATGGTGACGAGTATCTATACGTCAGTGTCATTCATGCCCGTGAGTCTTATACTGTGATTAATGTGACTCCGTTTCGTATTGTTTATGCTTTATATGATGATTTCTATTGTTGAATAAGGATTGTGGATGTATTATTGATAATTGAACATTGTAGAGCGTTGGCTCAAGTTAAAAATTGAGTTGTGAGGTAACTGTGGAAAAGAGGAGAGGTTTATGATGTTGTCTCCCTTGTCGGGATGTTGTTGTTTTTGATATTATCTCCCTTTCCGGGATGTTATTACTTATGATATTGTTTCCCTTGCCGGGATATTGTTGTTATGCTATTGTTCCCTTGCCGGGATTTTATTGTGATGTTATTAATTCCCTTGCCCAAATTGCTTTGTGATTGTTGCTTGAGTGAGGAAGAGTGTAAAGCATGAAGGGTGATGCCATGCATGATTTTGAGAGTGTTAATGCACGAAGGGTGATGTCGTGCCGATATTGTGAGGTAAAAGCACGAAGGTAGATGTTGTGTCGCACGATGTACAATGTCGTCCTATGATATGAGTGATAATGCACGAAGAATAATTCTGTGCCATGATTATGTGAGGTAAAGACACGAAGGGTGATGCCATGCCGATTCTATTGATTTTTATGATGAGGATGAGAGTAAAAGCACGAAGGTTTATGCCGTGCATGTGTTATTGAGTTCTTGATTCTTGTTGATAATTGAATTATGGCTTTCTTTACATTCCTCTATTGGTTTTTCTTTTGTTACCTGATATTCCCCGCAACATGTTTTCCCCTCTTATGTTTAACTATAAATATCTCCCTTTATTTTTCACGGTATATGATTTAACTGCACATATTTATTTGGTAGTCTGGTCCTAGCCTCGTCACTACTTCGCCGAGGTTAGGCTAGGGCCTTACCAGCACATAGGGTCGGTTGTGCTGATACTACACTCTGCACTGTGTGCATATCCTAGTGCTGTAGCTTTTGGACCACAATGAAGTTGCTGTCTTCAGTCCATCAGGCGACCCGAGGTAGTCCTGCAGGCGTCCACAGGCCTTGGCGTCTCCTTCTATCTTTCCCTACTATTTCTTTATGTATTCCAGAAACAACTTTATATTTATCTTTCGGACCTCTATTTGTAGTATTCCTAGACAGTCTGTGAGATTGTGACATCAATTATGGGTAACTTTTGTTTATGGATTTGTATCGGTACTATTAAATTGTTACATTTCAGTCTTCCGCTTTATTATTTCCGTTGTTTATATAGTGTTAATTCACAATTGTTAAGGGATTAAAAATGAAAAGGGTTAAATCATTGGAATAATTGACTTGCCTAGTTTTCACTAGTATGTGCCATCACGACTCCCGATGGTGAGAAATTCGGGTCGTGACACATACACATAGTGTCTATGTTTACATGACATTTGTCATCCCCTCATAGGCAACATCGTTGTTTTCTGGGTCTTGTGATTGGACTAAGACATCTTGTCCTAATGGAATTAGAGTACTAGATGCATCTTGGGATACGATCATATCATTGTACGTGACACTAATCATGAATCCGATAATTTTATCTTTTTTTTTGCACTAGAGGCTTAGTATTCAATCTTTTTGCTACTTTTTGCTCTATGTATAAAAACTTTAATCTATAAATTCTTACTAGGGATAGAAAAAAAGGGAAATTAGTGAAAGAAGAGACTTGAAAGCGGCCCCGGTTGTGGAAGAAAGTTTTTCCTAAAATTGGCAATGGTTAAAAGGTGCAGTTTAAGTTACTTTGTACAGTGACACCATATTTTACATTTCTCCACGATTGTTGTACTTGTTTATTCTCCTTTTAATGCTCCTCTTAGCTCAGGGTTAGTGCACGTGACTTTTAACCATGTGGTCGTGGTTTCGATCCTCACAGACCACAAATTACTATTTATAGGACTTGTTTGGACCCGAGGCATAATTATGAATTACGGGATGAGTGTTATTTAAATGAATTGAAACAGATTTAGAGAATTGTACTACAGCCAGTGGCTACCTTAAATTGTAGGAGTTGCTATTGGTAGGTGAAGTTTTCATGAAGTGCAATTTTTATTTGATTCTAGTTAATTTACTCTCTTGAAGAGAAAAACGTCTTTATTTTTAGCTTTTTGTTTGTCTCCTTTTCTTATACTTACATTGATTTGTATAATTAATGTATAAGTGTGTAGTTATCAGAAAATTTTAATTTGCGATCATTCAAGTATTAATTTATTGTTGGAAAGTCACTCAACTATTCATCAGTTCATTTATAAGTTATCACATATTTTCTAGTCCACTTTCACACTCAAAAAAAAATATGGAACTCATTTATCCCGCATGCTCTATCCTAATAATCCAAAGAAAAAGAGGTACTTATTACACTAGATCTCCAGAATAAAAATATTATAATTTAAACTAGCTTTTACCCTAAAACCTGATCCTGATAACATCGATAGTGAAGCATTTTAACATTGTGCATGAATAAACTAAAATATAACGAAAAATTTTATTTTTCAAGAGATCGCTCAACTTCGATCAGTTTTTCATTTAGAATAAACTAAAATTAATATTCAAATTTCGGTCAATTTTCTCCGGTCAACACATATAGAAAAATTGACCAATTTCGGTTGCTTATTTTATTTTAAAATAAAAACGGACTAATTTCCTTCAATTATTTTCGCGCAAAACGCGATTAAAGAGTTTAAATTGAAAAATTAAGATATTAAACTAATAAGCATCAATGATCTAGTGGTGAAATAGTATCTTGGCACAATTCAGGCCTCGATTCAATTTTCTAGATGGTATATTTTTTAATTGCATAATAAATTTCTACTTGCAAACCTCAAAGGTTGAGCAGCATAGGCTCAGAATCAACTTTGTGCTAATCTTCATCCGGTAGATTTATTGCTAATAATATTTGAAAAGAATGTTGTTTTCTTCAACATCGATGCATTGTGAAAACAATGGAGTATTTATAATATCCAAGAAAATCAAAATGTAGACTTCTTAAAACCAGTACGTAGTTGAAGAGCAAATATCTTTTTCTGCAGAAATTTTGAAGAAAATGGGTGCTACCTTCTCGCTTACTCTGCATGATGCTAATAATATTTCAAACTTATCATGCTTTTTCTTTAACTCTTTCATATCTTGGGTAGAGTCTCATGAGACAAACCATCTGCAGCAACATTTTCTAATGTGTTCAATGATCGATCTACCAATGCTAAAAATGACTAGCTTGTTGGGTGGAAAGGGGCAATGGAGTTCTGGTCTTGGATGGAAAAAATGAATAAACTTAAAGGGTAAAAGAAACAAAGAACAAGAAAGTAGAAATAGAGAAAAGCAGAATGTGGATATTCTACTTCAACTAGAAGTTCAATAGCTTCGTACAGTAGCAAGCAAACTAAGGCAAAGAAACTGCTTCTATTTCTCTAGATTCTCCCTTAATTATCAGCTGAAGCAAGATCCAAGAATTCCATTTGATTCCTAGAATGTGTTAAGCAAATAAGCAAGCATATGACAGAACATACAGATCAGAATGAGACAACTTATAATCTGATCATTATTCTGATAATAATGGAGATAAATGATGGAACCAAAAAGTAAAGTAAGAGAAAGAATTGAACTACCTATAGATGAAGCTTTGAGGGCTAAAGGAAATATTGCAGAATGAATTCCTGGCAAAGAACGAAGTGCATGTTTCCTGGACATAAATCAGACGGTTGATGTGCATGTTTCTGCCATGAACGAAGTAACTGGGAAAACTGGTGTTAGTCCAAAAGGTGAATGATGAGACTACTATATGAGCAAGTTTATATATAAAGACTGAAGGATCGTGTTTCAGAAATCAACATCAATTTGATCCGAAATGAATACTCCATATAATCCTACTAGCCTGTTTCACAAGCTAGTTAGATAAGTATTCTCTAGTAACTTCTTTACACCAGCTAATTATCACAAAATAGAGATGCTTCTACAGAACACAATTGAAATACATTACTCACTGAACTACAATCAACCACCAAATTAAATCAAGGAGCCCGAAAGATACAGCAGTAGGAATTGGTCAATATAACTAAGTAACTATATACCAAAAGTGTTGTAAGAATAACTTATCAACATATTATAAATATAAGAATAAAAATTATAGATATTGAAAGAGGCCATAACTAAGATGAGAAATACAGGCCTAAAAATCTCTGCATGCCTATTTGGTCAACGGTGACCACCATCTCCAAAGCAAAGAACTTGCCTCCAATATGAAGACATAAACGAATCCAATCGAAAACCTACAAGACCTTTAGATAGATAGCTGAATACTTGAGAGCCTCCAAGCAATATAGAATATCCTTGTTTCCAGCAACCAGTTAGTGAACAACTTCAATAGTGAAAACAATTAGTTATAAAGCTATGTAGACAAATGTGAAAGATGACTATAACTCCCTGTTCAAAATTTAGAATTTAGAATTTACAACTTTTTGTATTTACAAACTTTTCTTTGTGCTCACATACTTTTAAAAGCAAAGCAAAAAAGTGAAGCAGGCATGTAGAACCTGTCTACAAAGTGTTTATCAAAATTGTTGACTGTAATGTTCATTTTGCTTCTGATTGCTGTTGCCAATGAGTTATACATAATGCATTGGTTTGGAACTGAACAAGGTTCAGAGTTGAGACTAATATATAGGGCTATTTCTTCCCTTGATAATATATACTACATGGAAGTGGGGACAATTACAATGGGTAAAATGCAGCTTTGGATAATACTACATGCATGGCATTGGGATTTCTCTCTGTGTTCCACCACCACTACATTAACTGTACTGAGCATCTCATTCTAATACTGGTCAAATGTTGCTGATTCATTTTGCAGCATCCTTGAGGACTTACAGCAACCAAAATCCAGCACTTAGTTGTGACTTACTGTTGCTTTCACAGCCTTCCCCATCATCAGCGATTGCTTTGTTGTACACCTCAACAATAATTTGCACATAGACTGCGTGCTAGCTGCTTCCATCCTATAAAAGAACATATATCCAAAATCTCAGAAATACACAACAACAATCAAAGTAAATTACAGTTTAACAGTTAAAGAATAACTTACAGCTACACGGCTTCAACATTGCAATCTTTTGATAGAAATCTCTTCCAAAACCAATGTTGTTTGAAGAGATCTTCCTCAACTCCTTCGCCTTCTTTCTTTTTTCGCTCGGGCAAAAACTTATAAATGGAGAAGCACACTCCCAGTGTCAGAGCGGCAAATAGCATGAATATCCAGGCCTTGAGCGCACACATAAGCAGCAAAATGGCCGGATTCATGATTAGAGACATGAGCAAAGATATGCTCGTCTCCCAGCATGAACCTAACACTCTAATCTCTTCGGCGTATGATTCTTCAGTACACTCAGAAGGCCCCGAGAACATTGAGTAGCAGCCTATGAGGAGGATGGCAAATGCCATGCCAACATAGGCACTCTTTTGGCTCAGTTGAAAGATAGGGTCTCCTACCAAAAGAAAGAGACCCAACAAGGAAACCTGGAAAAATCCAAGAAAAGTGATTAAGTTACATAGTCTATATTCAATTAATAAAAATTGATCTCTTTAAAGAAAGCCTAATTAAGAAAGAAATGAAGAATTACCTGTGCCACAACCATGCCTAAACATGCTGAGACTAGAGTCCTCCGTCGTCCGAAGTAACTATAACTCGGATAAGTGAGTCCAACAACTCCAGCCCGAATAACTCCGGCAATGAGCGGAGAGACGAAGGAGGCATTATAAGCGTATCTAGCTGACCGGAGAATGAATGGTCCAAAGAAGAGGATTGAATCTAAGCCCGACACTTGCTGAAAAATTTGAGCTGCTATGTTGAGCAGCAAAAAGGGCGAGCGTGACAGTTTCTTCCTTGTCCCCTTGCCTTCATTTTCAATCAGGTCTGCCAACATCTGCAGCTCTGCTTCTGCTCCAAATTTCCTCAACGTCTTAAGGGATGCTTTTGCTTCCTCCATACTCCCTTTCTTAATGAGAAACCTCGGGGTTTCACTAAGAAAGAAAGACAGCACAAGTAGTGGCAAAGCCAAAAACCCGCTACCGGCAAAGGACCATCTCCAACCATAGCGGAAGTTGTGAGATGCTGCCATGTTTACTACTTTTGTGCAGTACTTTCCCATAGCACCATGGAGTTATATCCAAGGGAAATCCATTTTGGTGCCTTCCCAACATTGATCTCACTCAATATAGTGGGAATCACCTGCAAGATTGTAACCAGGGGCGGATGTAGTTTGTTAGGAACGAGTTCAATGGAACCCATAACTTCCGATGCGGTGTAAAAATTTGTTAAAATTGCCAAAATAGTAGATATGAACCCATAACTTTAAATAGATAATGGGCTCAATGCTAAAAACCTTAAAAATCGAACCCATAGAATATAAATCTCAGATCCGCCTCTGATTGTAACTTGTTTAAAACTATATATTATGATATTTCCTATTTCAGAACATAGCAAATACTAATAATGGTTAGTTGGATAATACTACTATTTCACAACAATAGTTGATTGGAGCTGAGGCAGGTGGAACTAGGGGTGGAAAACGGGCGGGTCAAAATGGGTAATTTAAAAAACGGATAAATTATCCGACCAGACCCTTGTTTGAGACGGATAAAAACGAGTTTATCCAGCGGATAATATGGATATCCATATTATCCTTGGCTTCTTAAATATGATCACTCATGAGAGAATTTCTAGTCTTCCAAACTTGAGGAACTCTAATTTAAGGCTTTACAAATGTAAAAGTTAAACACATTAGTTATCCATTCGGTTAACCATTTTCTAAGTGGATAATATGATTCTTTATCCATATTCGACCCGTTTTTAAATGGTTCATTATCTAACCCATTTTTTGCTGAATAATATGGGTGGATAACAGTTTTCTTTTAACCATTTTGCCACCTCTAGGTGGAACATACATTTATACTAGTTGAAGACTAACTCAAAGTTGGATCTAGTTTGTTAGTGTACTTCCTAGTTTTCATAATCTGTTAGTTAAATAAGGATAGGATAAATGCTTAGGTTGTAGTAGTAGTTCAGGATTTTCTAATTTTTGTTTGTTTGTTTGTTTGTTTGTATGTAGCATATAAATAGGCATATTCACTATTCCATGGAAATGCCAATTAGTTGTCAGCTTTCTCTCCACTCTCTTAATCTCTGTTCCTATTGTTCATAATTCCATTTAAATTTCCAACAATGCCAAAGCGAAAAGAACATATAAGTTGTCAAAGAGAGAAACACCAACCTGATTTAGTAACGCGACACTGCATCCAATGATTGCTAGGCCTATTGATGCCACAACATCATTTGGAAACCAGTACATTAGGATACTTCCGACAAGCTGAAGTATTGATCCAATAACTAGTACTGGTTTCCGGCCCCAAGAGTACTCCATCATTCCACGTGCAGCCCATACTGATGGAATGGCAGAGAGCTGCACAATGGATGAAAAGAGGATGAGCCACAAATTAATGTAGGCGCAAAAGTTGTCTGTATTAGCCTTGACTGCTTTTACGTGAATTCTTCTGGAGAATTGAACCATAAAGCCTTCAATGCCAACAGCAGCACCTGAAACACAATTAAAAATAAGTAAGCCTTTAGTAAAGTTTTAAGATGAATAATGCTAATGACAGAAACACAATACAACCGGATATTTCATATTATGTTGAGAGAAAATTTGGATGCACAAATAAACGTACATTAAGAAGAAATAGATGACTTCACAGAATGAGGATGAGATCTAGTGGATGGTATCAATAGTAAGAACCAGATGTTATTTGGATTTAGGTCTCTATGTGTGCAACATGCATCTTCGGGTGAGTTGCATGCAAATTATGTATTTTAGACTATGCTTTAGAAGGTAATTTTGCTTTCTGATTAGAAAAAGCTTGCTTCAGATTATGCTGCTTTCTAGGCAACAATGCATGGTACTTAGACTAGAATGTTTGTAGCTGGTGACAAAAAGCAAATGAATAACTATGTGGGTAAATGGCTATATATATATGGACATTACTACTATCAAAGACATCATTTTCACTCAATCTACTCCATAGAACTTTGTTCCTTTAAAACACTCAACGCTCCATGGCCTGATGCTTATCATCCTATTTTAAACACTCCGTAAACAGTTCCTGTTTTAATGCTCTCCAGACTTGTAGGATTCCTACTGAAGTTAAACACTACCTATGTCTGCCTAACACCTAAAGCTAAATAAATCTTTGTAACACTAGCTATAAAATCATTTCAAAAGTCATTGTCAACAGAATCTGTCCTGTCCTAAATACAATCATCAGCCCTCTTCGCTACAGCTTTATTCCTGGAAGAAGAGCTGTTGATAATGAGATAATTGTTCAAGAGGTTGTTAATCAAATTTAATTTAGGAAAACCGCCTTGAGTTGTCCTTCATAAGATGCTCCCTTAAGTCATTAAATTTCCCTAACAACCTCATGACGCTCATTATGAGCTGTCTCACTACTTTATCTATATCCATTTTGGTCAATTGTGAGCTAGCCTACCACCTTTTTAATCCTACTAGAGGGATCAGACAAGGTGACCCTCTTTCCCCAGGCCACAAATAACGATCTGTCAAAACCTATAATGTTTTCAAGAAATGGCCCTGCTATACCACATCTGCTTTTTGGAGACAACTTGATTCTGTCTGGACGAGAAACCACAGCTACTGCTAATAGCATCTCCCAGGTTTACATTTTAAATATGCGCACTGCTAATACTGTAGGAAAGTATATAGTTCTTCCTATCACTAACCTTCAACTTCCACAGACCAAACTACCTCAAATGATCCAAATACACATAGGAGAGGGACTTTGATCAAGCTGAATTACTAGCATTCTTGGAAGACCTCCAACTAGAAAAAGTCTTAAACTACGGTCAATGTCATCTACTCACACATTATATTCGACTGCAGATCATTGATGGAGGAGATGGGCAGCGTGGAGTTTAAGCATATGATCTACCGGGAAGCAAATAGTGTAGCAGATACTTTGGGAAAAAATGGCATGGATGTTCTCCACAATCAGGCACAACATCATTACCACCCCCCCTTTTGCTTTTACTAAGGATTGCTCTAGAACCTCTGTAATCCCACTGAAATCAATACCATTAACATTAAGAAAGCAAGCAATTAAGCCTTTCATTCAGTGGTAGAACTAAGGGGTGTAGGAAGAATGTGACACCTATATTTAGCATTAGAGTAGATTACATGAGTTTTCTTTCTTAAATCGGATTTGGCATTAATAGTAAGCACAATTTATTTTCTAGAAGACCAATACTTAGAGAGATTCGAGAGAGCAAGGAAGTCTGATAGATTTCCCTTTGGGTGAGAATCTCTTTGTTATGACTACTATATTTGGAAACTGTTCTGTCAAGACTAGTAGATTTCATAAGGAAGGTTAAAATGAGAGAGAAAATGACATAACCTATTTTCATAAAAGCACAAGGAATCAAACACTCCAAATAAAATGGTAACCAAAAAAATATGGAAAGAAGCATTACTTTTCAAGCACATAGATTTAATTACTAACCAAAAAAATACCTGTGACATTTAAGGCGTAACCAATGGTAAGGCCCCCAAATACTGCCAATAAGCCGCTAGCAATAAGTGAAGTAAGTCGAGGTTGACTCTTTACATCACTGCAATTCAAGTTAAATGACATATTGATCAAGTATAATTCAGAATACTAATTTAAGCATTTAGTTAAGCTTTGTGGAAAATAAAAATGTACCTGGGAAGCTGTAATTCTAGAGCTGCATTTGAAGCCACGGGAGTGATGCTAACGCTAGCTCTCGCTAGCTTCAGAAACTATTTCCTGCTAAAAGTTTCGTATGAAAATTAGTTCAAAAGTATGGATAAAAATATAACAGTATTCTTAATTAGCTTACTTCATTTGCCAGGCTAGGCATGCCAATCGGACTAATGATAACTATCTCAGTAGCTTCAGAAACAACTTCCTTCTAAAATTTGTATGAAAAATTAGTTCAAGATTCTTAGAAATAAATAACATTAATTCCATATGATAATTATTCTCAACTTACTTCATTTTCTGGCCTCGGCATGTCGAAAAAACACATGCTGCCGATGTCAAATACACCCATGTCATCACTATCAGTAATAACATCCCTGTAAATGATAAGAGTTAGTTCAAGATTCTTAGAGGCCAGACAATTAGTAAAATGAATTTTACTCAAACTAAATATATCACCAATAAATGATTCTTTTGATACTTCCTTACACTACAAGGTGTAATTCATCACAATCTTAACTCGCCTAGATCATGTTAAGGAGAAATATGAAAGGTTAATTTTCTACTTGCTAATTAATACATACTCTATTTAGTTATCTATAAACAGTTTGGGAAACACTTTGATTCACTGGTGGTTGATCAAAGCCAGAGATAAAGTGCACTCCCTCCTAATTAATAGTTTGCACGTAATATGTTGGGAGTTGTGGAAGAGTCTCTAGTCAACGCTTACTCTGCTTATTTTGGAAATTGCTCTAATAATATAGCTGAAGCTTGTGGGAGTTTAATTAATTGTGCATTAACAATGATTTTTGTGATGTAATAGTGGAGTCAGACTTCATGGTAATTATTGTTGAATATGACAATATCCCACATCGGTTGAGAAGTAAACTTGGTGGGAATTTTTTTCTATAAAAGGAGGCCTAATGTTTAGGATTTAAACACACTTCTCATTTGCCTTCTTATCTTCTTAAGGCATTTGTATCTTCTCTCTTTAGTATTATTTCACTTGTATTTTTGCAGTGGAATAAAATATTGGTTGGGTCCGAGGAGTAGGCAAAATTAGCCGAACCTCGTAAATTCTGGTGTTCCTTTTATTGGTGCTTTATTGTCTTATTTATTATTTGGTGGCTGTCATAATTTTTGGTATAGTAGTTGTGACTT